ATTTTTTATGTTTAATTACATTTATATCAAAAATTGCTAGGAACTAAAGCGATTAAGGTAGATCTAGCTGTCCTTTACATCCATAAACGTTATATGTCAGTGGAACAAATGGAGCTTTGAGCGTTCCACGATTTTTGGATACTGTCTATACGCCGGCTTCCTAAACAAGCCTATATGTATGTTTGTCCAAGAAATTTTTGGATGAAATACAAACCGCACAACTTCAAAATCGCATAAAAATAATCCGCATAAAAAGAGACCTTACAGTATATTGTAAAAATATAAAATAATAGCTAGTTTCCTGCTAATAGATGGCACTGCTTGTACTTAGATTAAGTATAAATAGATCAAAAATCTTTATTATAACCGAGGACGTTGGTGGTCGGGTCACCTGTGCTCTGCCCTCGGGCTTGCATTGCAGCATGCAGTCTGACCTCGAAGCACCATTATCCCTTTTTTTCCCCCCTCAAACGCTCCGCTATTAGGCTTGCGTTGCAGCGTGCAGCTGGGTTCCAACCCACGTGTCACCTTTTTCTTTTCTCTCAAACGCTTTTCCATCAGGCTTGCATTGCAGCAATGCAGTCCTAGGTTCGCGCCCCCAGTCTCCTTTTTTTCTTTCTTTAAAATATCATTTATCTCGGCAGTTACATCCCCACACAGCTAAGTTACATAATGCCGAATATCGCATTCCGAAATAACTATTGGGTTTCTCCATACGTTTCTATATTCAACAGTTGACTCAACGGTGAGAGAACAATGTTTCTAAATGGACCGTTGAGTTCTCCGTTGAGACTAGTGATGTCAGTGCTGTTTCACCGTTGAGCTCAACGGTCTCAACGACCTGAAAGACCGTTGAGTATTCAACAAACTAACATGGCGGCTTCCACGAAAAAGTAAATTTCGCTTATAGAAACTATCCATTCGCTACTGTGGATGCTGTAATAGCGAACAGATTAATGAACAATCTGTATATGATAAAACATGTGATTGCACGATTATGTTGGATAATTTGGTCAATATTGAAATATTAAGATTTTTTTCATTTGTCCAAAATTGATTACGACCGATATTTGGCCCGCTAAGTCTTCCTAATGATATAAATATTCAAGAAATTAATTAAAATTATTAAAGAAAGACCCAGTAAACAAGAAAATGATACAGATATGGGTTCATTTGAATAAAAGGATTTATTCGAATAATGGTTAAGCGAGTTACTTTAATTATTTAGCAAAACAGTCACAATCGCCACCTTCTCGTTACTTAAGTCAGCCATCTTGAAAAGCGACCTCTCAACGAAAGCGTTTCTTTTTTCTGCAAAACGTGACGTCAGATCGTTCAACGGAGGGACTCAACGGAAAATTCACTGTTGAGTCAACCGTTGAATATAGAAACGTATGGA